ACCCAAGTGCTTTGAAAATCACAAAGTTGTGCTAACAAATCTCGAGTGCTCTGAAAACGTGAAGTGCCACAGCACCGAGCACTGAAATTCTAAAATTGCCAATACACTTGAATAAAATTTTCTGACCATATATATATATATATATATACACACACACACACACACAAAAGGAGGGAAATTGTATATAGTTAAAATAAATGAGGCATTTATGGAATATAGAAGAACTTAGAGCTGTGGGGAACCCAGGCTGAGATTTGACTATTGATATCTGACAACAAGGAATGACTTTTTGAGATGACCTCTCGTTAAAAGTGCCTGCTCAGACCAGGCTTCACAAGCCCCCAGGAACACAGGAATTCTCTCCCACACACACGTATCCTGCTCTGCCATTATGTGCTGAGCACTCTTATTKCCAACAGTAGCATCTTGTTTACCTAAAAGCTCCTTCTGGTAAAAGTAAAGGCTGAAATCCTTGCAAACAGCAAGATTATTTCCAAAAAAGCTGGCGCACTGTGGTGTGGCCTTTTGAAGCCTAATCTCGGGAAAGCTTGCTGCAGYCTACAGCAAAATAATAATGCTTTCCTGGCATTTTTTTTTCCTTAAGAGCAACAACTTATCTGCAACCTAATATAAAAGCATATGAGTATCTACAGCTGGGAAGTCAGTCATAATGTGCCTGCACCTACGTAATGATTGTATACTCTTTTGCTYCTGTCATTTTGTGTAAACCATATTTTGTGCACTTAAGAATAGTTACCACAAGAACACACATAATACCAAAAGCTGCTGTCCTACAACAACATTATTCGTTGCATCTCTTACGTGTTTTATCAAAAATGCCTTAAAGCATAGTAATAAGCATCACCACTTACCACCAAAATAGACAAAATAATCAAAGCACAGTAAGGCCAATTTGATATCAGCACAGTATTATTAGCATAAACTTCCCTTGTTAAAAGCCAGACTCTACCCCTGCTACAATACCTTTTCAAATTAATGGTAGTTCTTGTACAATACTGCTCAGCATAAGCCAGGGTAACAAAACAGGTGCTTTTTTGATTTAACTGGGCAATATCAGCTCTACCTGAAAAAAACAGAACTGCTTAATTTTTTTTTTTTTTTTTTTTTTTTTTTTAAGTATACTCTCGCCTATAGTGCTGCCTTTTATAAGGAGGTAACTTCCGATCTTTGCGCTCTCATCCTCTGCCTTTATGTTAGATTAGATTCATAGGGCAGCAGGGAATCTTTGGCTATTTTGACTGCAGTAGCAATAAAACGGGCACGTGGGGATTGACTTTACAAAAGCGCCCAGGAACAACACAGGTCCAGCTCATAGGAGAGGTTTGGTCACATTTTCAGGGCTGCAGAGGCATCCAGAAGACATAYGCAGATACTACCTCAGTGAGATTTTTCAAAAGCCCTGCAGATAGTTCAGACATCAGTAAGAGCTGCGAGTTCTGGCTGGCAGCCAACCGCAGCTACCATGCTCAGAGATTACAGAGATACTACGACTGGCACAAACAGATTCAGCATCAACCTATGCCACATAACTGTTTTCCAGTTTAGTGCCCAACAACCCATTACAGTGCAGTCCAAATACCTGAACCAAACTTGTACACTGATTTTTCTAATTTCATGCATTATGAAGATAAAAATATTGTTCAAGTTCCTGCACAAAAGAGCTCAGAGCGGGTAATTCATTCTGCTGTTATGCAGAACTGGATCACTGAATGAGGCAAAGGCACCAGCCCCACAGTCCTTTGTGTGCTTCCCTGCAAGGGCTGCAGCATCCTGCAGAACTGCAATGCACGCTGCCATGGGGAAGATCCACCCTCTGGCCACCTTCACAGGCTTGGAGAGAATATACAGAGCTAGCACGCTGAGAAACGTCTAGGCTGCTTAGAGCTGTAGTAAAAGAAAACAAATCTCATCTGCCCAAGTAAGATTTATACATATATGGTTCTATACTACCCACTTCTATGGGAATAACTGAGACAAAATAACTGCCTGTTATTGGAATGCGAGAAGTATTATCTTCTGTCTSAGACCACTAACTTCCAAACTATCCTACCAGAAAACAAGTCTGAAAACTCCATTCCAGGCGGACATCAAACTGAGCGTGAGGCAGCAATGTGTCCTTGTGGCCAGGACGGCCAGCAGCATCCTGAGCTGCACGGGGCAGAGCAGTGCCAGCAGGGCGAGGGAGGGGACCCTGCCCCTCTGCTCAGCCCTGCTGAGGCCCCACCTGGAGTACTGGGTGCAGCTCTGGGCTCCCCAGCACAAGAGCTACTGCAGCGAGTCCACCAAGGGACTACTAAGATGACTGGGGGACTGGGGCACGTGTTGAATGAGGAAAGGCTGAGAGCACTGAGCTTGGAGAAGACTCATCAGCATGTGCAAGTGTTTGAAGGGTGGATGTAGAGAGGATGGGGTCAGACTTTTCAGTGATGCCCAGTGACAGGATGAGAGGCAATGGGCACTCACAGAAATAAAGGAAGGCCCATATGAACATAAAGATAAGCTTTTTCACTGGGAAGGTGCCTGAGCACTGGAACAGGTTGGCCGGAGAGGTGGTGGAGTCTCCATTCTTGGGGATGGCCAGTAGCCATCCCAGGACACAATCCTGGGAAGCCTGCTCTGGATGATCCTGCCTGCTCAGGCGATAGCATGAKAACATCATGAGAACATGAAAGGATKTAAATTAGCTTGCATTTTTCTAGACATTTTGTTCAATTCTGTGTTTATGAACTTTTTTTAAAAAAGACGGATTGGTGCTTCTTATGGAATCATGCTGYGGCAATTCATAAAGTGGATACAGATTGCACATCTTCCAGATCAAAGATGGAATCACCAAAGATTCCATTATTGTCCTTATATCAGCAATAAAAGTGCAAGAGTTTGGGCAAGGCCCCCCTAATCTAATTAAAAACGAGCTAGTTAAAAGCAGATTAAAGGACACTTAGCTGCAAGAACTGCCATGGGAAAAATATATCAGTAACATCTCAAAACCATCACAGTAAATTAAAAAATGAATTTGTCCACATCTCTGCTTTAGTATGGATGTACATCATGCTGGCAAAGCACATTCAACAGAGAAGGCACGTGAGCTGTTCTCCTGCAGGCAAAATCCTCAAAAAGCTTCAGTGCAGTTCATGGAATACAAACCAGAAGAGAGAAAATACTTCTCTTCAGTACCAAGCACACAGGTAGTTTACTCTGCAACTAGAGAAYGTGTGTGGGAAAATAAAGAACAAAAACAACAACAAACAAAAAAACACAGAAGTGGATTCAAAATTTTATCTGTGCCTATTTTTAGTATTAGATAGATATTTAAGATCATGATGAAACATTTTATTAGAGGAAGGAAACAAGACTCTGACCTGTATACTCTCACATTCTCTTTTACTAYCCAGTGATTCAGAACAGCTCCTGTTCTACTATTATCCTCTCCTACTCTTCAAAAGAACCAGCATTTTATCCCCCAGTATCAAAATTGTTTAATTCGTGAGTAATGGCAGTAAAGAATGTGTTTCTTTATCTTGCTTTRGTTGTTAATTAAGTCCCATTTAGTGCTTCTGAATTGCTATTACTAAGCTGCACTGGAAGAGTATGTTAGAAAACAATGGAAGATGGATCAACAGCTGCAGTTACCAGGAAAATTATGGCAGCACATCAGAGGAACTGCAGCTGCTCCCTTCATGCAAATAAGAGCTACTTGACAATGACTATAATTATACAGCAAGTCCAACAGCATAGCTGGAGTAAAAGTAGAGAGAAATATTTTAAAAGGTGAAAAGACTTTCATTATGTTCACATTCCCTAAACTCCTATCTAGGGATAAGAGGATCCAGTCAACGGGCCCGCAGAGCCAGGAAGATCTACCAGGTCTCCCAGAGACACTCTCCTGTTAATGCTTCAGCTCTTAAATGAGATGTCTCTTTGCAAGTTTACTAACTACCTCGATCAGCAAGAGCACTCAGACTACAGGCAGAGCTGGATTCCAGTTAACTAAGGGCTGTACAGCCACAAAGATGCARCCCAAACTATTTTCAGTGGCTCACACAGTGTGGATAACATCTCCTCTCCCAAAGTCTGCTCTTGATATCTGGAACAGCATTGTAAAATTCTAGTTTATKCTACTTGATTATTACTTTTGAATTGAAGTATTTTTGGCCCCTTCTACACAACWCCTTTCTCACTGAAGGCACTAAGGCCCTCTTAAGGGCTGCAATTCTTCCTCTCAGACAGAAGCTCAGCTAAAAGTACCTTGATTTTCAGAGAAGCTGAGTGCACTGTCTATTCCTGATACATCTATAAGTTGCTTGTTTATTAGAAACTGTCTAAACAAAGTGATACTTTATTGTTTTAGTTTCTTCCTGTTCCTGCTCTGCATTCAGCCTTTTTAATTAAAGCTCTCTGTTTTTCCCTGGTTAGTTCATGCTGGCAAATTCACGCACCTGCACAGGAGAGAAAAAAAAAAAAAAAAAAGCTGGAACAAATCCTCATTTGTTTTTTTTTTGCCTCTCAAACTCTTGTGTCAAAAACTGTTACAGCAATTGTAACAACAAGTTACAAACAATAAACATAAAACTGTAAATCCAAAACTGAGAGAGTTTAAGGGAAGAGTTGAATATATTTATGATAGCCACAAAAGGGCCATACAGTTTTGCAGTTCTCCTACCTATGTTTCAGTGATGAGAAATTGGAACCACTTTTTCAATGACTTAGATTGTTGCTTAAGAGCATCACTGTTCTTGTTTTTACCCAGTGGTCCAAGCTGTCTAACTTGACAGTTAATCTTCCCTCTATCGGGAACTATCAGGAAACCCAAACATTCTTCCTGTGAAGTCTGTTCATGAAGCAGAGGCCCAGTTCCAAACACTCCGAAAGTCAGGGACTTGACTCCTACTTAGAATGGCACCTCAAGCTTTCCCCATTTCATCGCTATTCTCATCGAATCACCGACTCGATGGGAAAGCAACTAAAATGTCTAAACTTACCTGAAATCACACGCCGTGGTAAGCTCTGCTCCTCCTCCGAGAGCTTTCCCTTGGACTAGGGCAACACTGATCAATGGCAATCTACACAAGAGAGCAAAATTCACACTTCTAATCTTTTACAAACAGCAAAAGCATTCATGTATAAAATTTCTATGCTAAAATCTCAGCATACTGTGTTTTAACTCATTCACACAGCTGCACTTTTGCAGATTTAACTGCACACCATCAGTTAAAGCACAGCAAATCAGGCCATGTACGAGCTTGTGAAAAGATGGTGGCTTGAGGGCAGAGCTCTGAGGGCTGGGATCTGCGTCACCAAGGCTGAGAGGCCTGCAGCTAGTGGCACCTGGGGGTCTGGTACTGGCTCCAATATCGTTCCAAATATTCATGGGTGAATATTTAAAAGCTGTGTAGACACAGTCCTCAGCAAGGTGCAGTAGCTGACCCTGCTTGAGCAGGGCRGTTGGACAAGATGGTGTCTAGAGGTCCCTTTGAACCTCAACCATACTGTGAATCCCTACCGCTATTGTRAAATTAATAATAATGAACAATGATTTAGGATAAGCCAATTTCCCTAGGAAATGAAGACAACTCCTCAGTGCCCGCTTGCATGTCAATGAAGCTGTTTTGTCTCTTATTACTAAGATGCATTTAATGCACGGGGTTGATGGTTGGCTTCAAAGCTACACTCAAAAGTCAGCTTCAAAAGTCAACTTCACAATTCATTCGTGCATTTGCTTTCCTTCACCGCAACCAATTCCTTATGGCCCAAATGCGCTCACCAGCTCGAGCACACCTTACAGCACAGGGCACGAAGGCCCAGGTCCCCGTGTCAACACTGCCCGCTGCTTCTCATCTACTTGAGGAACCTCTTCAGAGGCGCAGGGAGCTCCAGCTCCCTCAGAGGGCTACCAAGCCCTCCCCAGGGCYGTGCAGCTCTCCTAATCACAGCTGCAAGGCGCTGCTGACGCAGTCTCAGACAAGACGCCCCAGGTAAGGCCTTAATCTTCATTTCTCCTCTTTTCCTGCATGCGAATTTTGATTATATGGAGGTCAACTTATACAAATGAGTAGCTCTGATCCTGAGCATTCCTTACAAAGCAGTAGCTACGGCTACGGCTCCAAGCTCCTGGGCAGCTTTACAGAACAAGGCTAACTCATAACATTTTCTCATACACACCACCGGGAAACACAGCACATTTATCTTCAAAGAGCCCTAAGYAGACAAAAGGCAGAAGCTGCCACACATGGATTTAATTGAAATGAGATTCCTTAAGGGAAGCTAAATATAAAGGAGAGGGGAAAAATGATTTTGAGAAGTACCAGATGGCAGAATTGAATATATTCCTCTTATGAAGTGGCAAGATTAAATAAATATATTAAAGTTACCTGTGCAGGCGGCATAAGCCAGCCCTGCTTGATTTGAGAGCTACTAATTTCCACAGAGTTACAGAAGTCAGATTTAGAACCTGTAGAGACCAAGTTTTCTGAACTCCTGGGATCTGCTGGCCCTCCACATATAAACCTATGGATGCCTTTTCTGTTTGTATCTCCAGCAAGCCTAACAACTGTTAAATGTTAAAGTCTGGCTGACATCCACAAATACCTACCTGATTCACAAGTGCAAATACAAGGTCTGGTATTTACATTTACATAATCAAACTGTATATTTAACTTTAAATAGCTCTTTAGAAAGCTAGTCAAAACATATTCCAATCCTTATAATTATTTCATAAAGAGGGGAAAAGAAAAATATGTTACCTCATAAGTCTGGTTAAGGTATTTTGCATAAACATGCACATATTCATCCCATCCTGTAAAAGACAGAAAAATCCCCAAATGTTAAGTGATCCTAATGTCATGCAATTAAATACAAAAGCAGAGCAGACAGGAGTATTCATTACATTTACTCCATCAGAAGGGTTTTATTTTCCTTCTTTTCCTAGTGTTTCCTGAAGCCCAGTCCAACCTCAGGACACATTAATACAAGMCCAGAAAAGGCAGGTCAAAATCGGAGCCCAACCCATATTTTCTAATCTCAGTTTTAGTTCAGCCATTATGATATAATTGCCAAAGTGTTAAAAAACATTCAAAAAATACCAAGTTCCCAAGATATGAAATTGCACATCCTTTCTTCTTAAGTTCCCCTTAGCTCTCCTCCCACATAAATACCCATAATACTCCATTTAAAATATGAGACTATATTTTGCTGCACACATTTACTGCTCAAAATCTACAAAAAAAAAAAAAGAAAAGAAAAAAGCTCAACTACAGTTTTTTTGTTGTTTCACTCTTGTGGCATTTAATCTAAAAGACAGTCTTATTTCTCTCCTTGTTTTTGTCTACATCAGCTCGCAACGTTCAGCTTGCAAACAATAGTGAATAAGGAACAATCCTTCCCTTCATTTCCAAGACAAGAACTACAGAGCTTCAAACAAAATCAGTATCTGCCAGGTTCAAAAGCAAATGTATTTCTTCCCGCAGCATGTCATTAAACTGTGAAACACTTTACAGCACGGTATTGCAACCTCTTAAATAATACATGGATTCAAGAACAATTAGATTAAACTTGTGACAGAAAAAAAAAATCTGTAACAGGTTATTAAATTCAAGGTAACATCTTTAGCTCCAGAAATCTGAGTCACAAATTGCTGAAGGCTAAGAGAATGTTCTCAAGAAAAATCACGATCTGCCTTACTTGTTTTTACACTCTTCTGGCATCCAGCATTGGCCAGGAGCAAAGACACATGAATCGTGCAGTTTGACCATGCATGACCATGCATGCATTTAACTGCCCACGTGGCATTTAGTTCAGATTTAAAAATAAAATAATGCTTGGACACAGTGGAAGTAAAAAGCAATAGAAAGCAATTTCACTTTGTCTTTCCAAACAGAAAATTATGAGGGGGAACTACAAACACACATCTCTCTACTGATATTTACTGATTTTTAATACCCAACTTCAAGGGCAGGGGTCAGTAAGATAATAAATTTGCCTTAATTAAAAGCTTCTGACTCATCTAACAGCAAATGAAGAAGCTTAATGAGTTTTTCCTGAGCTCCTCCAACAGTTAAGTCTGGAGTAGGCCTTGAAATGAGCAAGACTCCAGCCTCCTGCTTTCCCAAGYGCCATCCTGCCCGGAGCAGCGCCGCGGCGCGTGGCAAGGCCCTCTCAGGCACCCGGGAACTCATTCGGCTTCCTAACAATGAAGGACCGTGGGAAAATTCCACTAATTATTATAAGGTTTACAAAGGGAGCCTTTTTATTTAGCACTATATCCACGTCCTACATCTATTTAAATCAGCTGAAGTATTTCTGTTCTAAACTGAAGAAGGATCAAGTCCTCCGTAACAACCGTTTCAATATTTCGGAATCAGAAAAGCTGAAACCCCCCGGGAAAGGGGCAACCAGGACCAGCGCTGCGATGGGGCCCCGCACAGCTCTCGTGCCGGAGCCGTCAGGAGGCAGCCGGAGCCGCCGCGCTCCGCAGATAAAACCTGCAGTCGCCCAGCACGGCACGGGCCCTGCATTCAAAACGGGCACTTCAATTCCCACCAAACTCCAACCGGTAATTGCAGATCAACACCGGAACGGATCAGCTTGATAAATGCAGTTATGAGCGAGCGGACAGAAATAAAGGTCTTCCTACTCTCGGGTGGTAGGAAGATTAGCCGGCATCACATGGAAAAATGACTGCGCAGGATAAAAACTGCCCTGAAATAAAAAATAAGTGCAATTACTTGAGTCCTGGACAACACATACTTCAAGCCTTCCTGATAAGAAAAATAAGGCTGCTAGAGTATTTTATCTGAGCAAGAGGTGGTCACTGGAGTCCAGTGGAATAATCACATTTTTCTATAGTGCTGTCTGTGGAGTATGAAGGAAGCTAACRTGGAGAAAGGGAGGCAAAATCCAGGTTTCCATAGGCGCTGCGTATGGAAGGAAAGATTAAGAGCTTGGGCGGAGGTGGGGAGGGAAGGAGTGGCTTCCACGCGAGGCCGCGCGGCCAGCCCCTGCGGCGGCTCCTCTGCTGCCAGAGCACCCGGGTTCCCTGGCACCRAGAGCAGCTCCACCCAGCAGCTCCCACTGCACACGAGGCCACTGACACTGCCTGGAGTCACTGCCATAGGCTGACAGGGGATCCAGGGATCAAGGAAAGCAAAACCTCTCCTTCGTTCCTCTTTGCCATTCTTTCAAGGGCCCCCTCACTTTCTGGTTAGGTTGGTGGTCGGAGTTTCATTCCAGAGCGTGGTTACTGTGCCTGGGAAGCAGGGTTACAGGGGCACATTTAGTTATTTATGCTCAATTTCACTCTTAATTTGCCTTCTGCAAGTTGGCTTGTTCTCAGGCCAGGCACAAGCCAACACTTGAAGAGGAGGAGGAGGAGGAGGAGGAGCCACTAGAGGGCATGAAAATCCTTCAGTATCCTTGGCCATCAACCTGCCTTTCCTGCCCACCAGGCAAAGGCAAAGCATGACAGGCATCTCACCCCCCGAAGCACAGAGAGAACAGTCAGAGGGGGGATTAAAAAAAAAGGGGTCATTGACAGAAGAAATGAGCGAAAGCAGCCCTTCAAAAATRAAAGGAAAAAACACACTGGTTCAGGCACAAATCTCACCCCTTTCTGCCTCACGGGACCCCCCGCACTGAAAACCTTACCTGAATCCAGACAACATTCACTCACCTGCAGCACGTTACAGAGCAGAATACTGCAACTCTGGAGTAAAATAAATTCTATTCTTTACTCTACTGAAGTTCTAATTAATAACAACTATTAAACCCTATCAAAGAAATGATCCAGGGTTTGCCATTACACGTAAATTCTCACTTTGGGATAAATAGTTTGAACTCTGCCAAGGGACCAGAAAGCAACCAGGTCCAGTTCTTCCTGGAGCATTTCTTGTGACTCTCACTCTTGCATTTCGGTATTAGTATGAGATCTAGGTTCTTTGCACACAATTTTTAACAAAGCTGTAATCAAAACCTACAGGTTTCATTTTGCCTGCTACATCTGTTACTGATCCTAATCCTCAGGTCAACGCTCTCTCCCACTGCAGTGGCTCCAAGAAGTTTCCTTAGACATATACACAAAATCTGTCTAAATGTCCAACATAGCCTATATGAAAACAGAATAACTTGAAAATTACCAACTTCAGAATTTTAAGGAAAGCTTAAGACCACAGATCAGGAAAAAAAAAAAGATCAATCAGTCTATGTCTGATTGCAGCTTCTTTTCTGTTCCTATAATGCTAAACTAAGCTGAAAAGCTCAAATACAATTTTTGAGGAGTTTTCACTTGGGTAGTTTAAGAGAACAGGTAGGTTTTTTTGAAATCTAGACTTGTCTGCAATTATTTTTCTTTTCTTTATGTCAATAAAATATGCTATCTCAATACTTAGTAGAAGCACTCCTGAGGTGTTTCACACAGGAAACAGCCTCCTGTAACTTTTAAGAACTGGAACATCGTATTTATGAGGTCAAAGTATTTAAGTCCCTGTATTTTAAGATGTTAAGTTCCATCGTCAAAGACAACTCATCACTGAAGAGGTACTAGATTAATCAGTTTTTGAATTTGTGTTCTTACCAAAATGCTCAATTAAAATTAGTTTGTATTGACAAAAATCTTCAAAATTGAAATGAGCACAAATGCACAAATCAGCAGCTGGACGTCTGCTACTGTAACTGCAAATCAGGATGGACTAGCACAGTTGATAACGCCCTTCACTTACTGGAAGGAACCATATACTAACTCACAGAAAGAATGATAGCATTTGTAAAAGCAGCCAAAACAAGGTGGTATCATAAAAACAAAACAAAAAGAAACACCACAAAAGCAACAACAAAAAAATGGTACCATGTTACTCATTCTCTCACCCTGTCAACACCGAAGTTGCACACATGACTCATCTGACATAAGATCAAAGCTCTATAGTACAAAGCTGTCCTCACATTTCATTCAACTACAAACACAGTGTTGACAAAATTGAAATCTTTGTGCAACAGTAGCTTCCTAAATTTGTTTTTGACTTCAGCATACATAAGGAATGATTTCTTGCATCTGCTTTTAAAGGTCTAACTACTGAAACAAAGGTTATTTTACATGCAAATGCACCATATAATCCCAAGAAACTGAAATGACGCTCTTAAACAGCAGGCTAAAAAGACTAYGCAATGCACTAATTCAAGGCTATGAATCATTTATAACACCACTTAAGTTGTTACTTAGAGGGGCTGCCAGGATTTTTCCAACCATGAAAATCKTCATTCCATGACTTGCATGTCTAACTGCAGCACAAGCACAGTTAAACACCTCCATGTGAAGGAGATCTCAGAATATCACAGAACTCATTTTTCTCCAAAAACGTAATTTGCATCACTACTTGCCTCAGAGTTGGATATTGCTTTGACAGCATTCAAATCGGATCCTGAACAAAAAGTGTTTCCTGCACCGCGGACGATAAGGCCTTTGCCATCCTTCCAGTTTTCCAATTCAGTTACCTTCTCCTGGAGCTCTATCATCATCGTGCCTGTCAGAAAGGAGAGAAGAAAATTTTTTAGAGGACGTGATTATCAACATCATGTATTACATTTTTYACTACCAAAAACAAGTTATCAGTGGTAAATTATGGGCTTAAATATACAAGACAGCATCATCTAAATTCCCCCCTACAAGCACTGTAATAGATGGACTTCCCAGAATTCTGAAAAATATTCTGCAGTCTGTGCTACACTCACAAAAAGAAAGTGTGCAAGGTATCCAGCATAAACTCCAGCTGTTTCATTTTTGTTTGCAATTGTGGGTATTCATGTCTTGTGAGCTTGTAGGTACCTGCTCATGGACAGGTCTATCCATCTTATGACCACCTTCATGTTACCTTCATTTCATCACACCCAAAGAGTTGGCAAAGCACAGACAATAATCACATGCCGGTTATCATATCCACATGATTCTTCTTTTTTTTTCTTTGATAATGGAGAGSTGAGAATATTCACCTACACCAGGAATTCACTCCTCAGCAAGGCAATCTTCCCCCTTCCAAAAGATCCTTTTTTTTAATATATTCCACATTAGTTTAACCAAATAGCACCCACTGAGTAGGTGCTTTTCCAGTCTCCATCAAAAAAGTTGCTTTTTTGGTCTCCCTGAGTGGTCTTTCTAACAACAACCAACAGTGGTTTCAGTCGCAGCCTTACCCTTTCTGAATTGGAATTCCAGAAACCCCCCTTTACTGGAGCTAGTCTTAGATCCCTCACCGATTGAGCTTACCCAATACTAAGTCAAAGCCTTTTCTCTTTCAGTGCCTRTGACTCACTTTTAGATACACTCTTAAGACAAAGCACTTACAGAAAGTAGTTTCAAAAAGCAGCCTACATACAGGCTGATCTCACTCTCAGCTTTATCTTCCTTCGATTATAATTTACACAGTCCTACTTGCTTACAATACAAATGTGCTTTAGCCTCAACAGCTCTTTGCTTTTCTTCAACAACTGCTGCTTTTTGGCCCCACTCCTGCATGCACAGAGCTTTTTCTGCCCTAAAATCATGTCCTCATATCCACCCCCACCTGTTGAGGTGTGGGGGGTTTCATTTTCGTTCCTGCTTGTTTTGTTTTATTTTATTTTGCAGGCCCTTGTGAAGACTAATGCCAGGCCACAAGTGAATGTTTCACAAAGCACTTGCACCTTAGTCTTGCTCTCAGCCACCAAAGGAGCATGTTTTGACATTAATCCTGAGGAGGGCAAGAATTAAGGGACATTACATACTGTATAATCAAAATGATACTTTTTTTCTGGACTATACATCTCTAACAAACCTCAGGAATACTGCTACCAGTTCCTTTCCACTTCGTACTTAAAATTTGATCATTTTTCCTTATGTTTGACRCATAGCAGTGCTTTCACTGAATTTCACTTTGTTGATCTTGAGCTCTTTTAGCAGTTGATCAAGATCATTTTGATTTTCATTGCTCTGCTCCAAAGCACAAACTCCCCACAAGTTCTCCCAGTCYGTGCTCACTTGACAGTTTCAGCAGGCCACTTCCTTCCTATTCCATCTTCCAAGTCATGAATGAAAACACTGAGCAGAACAAGGCCTAGAAGAGACTTCTTTGGGTCTTGCAAGGTCTCCCCAGCTTGCAAGTATATTTGACAATGACTTTGCTGCCTATGCCATTCCTTAAATGTGTGGCTCACCCCCATGGATTTCACTTTGCCTGTACTTCCAATGTTTCCACGTGAGAGAAGTATTTGGGCCAGCACTGAAGCTGTGCCACAAGCAAGATACAGTGCAACCCCTGTCTGCAATGCTTTTAATAATCAGCGGAGAGGTACTCAACAGTCTTTCTGCAAAACTATTACAGAAGCCAAAAATCTAATTAGCTGAATTGGAGTTTATGAAAGGGAACTGTATGAGCCAGCTGCATGCAACGGCAAGGAGCAGCAGTCCTAGGAACCCCTGTCCCCTACCAAAAGAAGGAGGATCCCTCACATTATGGACTGCAGTGAYGCCACCAAACTAACATCTTACCCACAGACAGAGTCTGTGAGGATTGATAAAATGATCAGAGCATACCACTAAAGCAGAGTCTCCTTTTGTCTGTCTCAGACTTTCAGTATTTGACACCAGTAAGTAAGATCATGCTCTTCACAACACTAAATTACCCAAAATAACAATGTTTGCCTTTTCCTTACAGTTGAAGAATAAGCATTTTAAAGTCAATTTTAGACAACAAAACTATCACTAMTGTTATGTAGTTTCTGCAGGATGGCCCACTTGCTTTTAAATTAAGTGCAGCTTTAGATCAGTAAGAGGTTAGGCTGCTGAAATTGGCTCCACCATGCTAAAACTGACCCTGTTAGCATTTGTTTCCAGAGAGACCATTTCAAACAGGYGGCTATCAGATTCCAATTAAGAGGAGCAAAAAAGGCCTAACAAGCTCCAAATCGCCCATTACCAATTTGCTAACAATTTTGTCCTGCTTTCAGTCCATGAGTCCACGAGTTCAGCTTAGAACAAACATAATTCCTTTGAGATAAAAAGCTGCTGTGTAAAGTAAATACCTTGTAAATAGGATTTTTTGTCAACAGTTTAATGATGTCTTAGAGTTTTCTAAGGGAAGCCTATATTTATACATAATTTCACATCTGCCAGTATTCAGGCCTGAGACCCGGAATCAACAGAATTTCTTTGAAGTGGGGTGTTTATAGTCTCCGGCAGATGAAGGCAACAGGTCCTGCTCAGGTAAAGCTGGGGCTGCACAACCCATCCCTTTCCAACTGCAGTTCAGAGAGAGGAACTTTACACTGAAATTAAATACAGTCTGAATCAAAATCCCRTCTCACCAGCTGCAGCGGCCAAGGGACCAGCATGGTTTTGCTTCTACCCTCCCTGCCACAGCAATAAAAATCTCTGTCAGAGGCATACAGCAGAAAGGAGCAGTAACCTCGCTGCCACAGCAACGTTGGCCCAGTAAGTTTCATGGSTGTCTTGTAGTAAAATGGAGTACTCTCTCCATAGGGCTCTATACATTATCTTAAAACAGAAGTGCTTGGCCATATGCCTCATTTGCTATATGCCAATCGGGGTCCACAGCAAAGACAGAAGTCTTAATTTTCTCATTTTCTTGGAGYCTCTATTAGTTGCAATAACTAAGTAATTCAAATACACTCATAACCTATTTTCACAGCACTCTTGTGAGGAGGGAGGAGACCATTTCAGACCACTAGCTGAGTTAAAGAAGACATCCAGCCAATCTGGGATTTGCAATTTAAGCTTCGTGTGGCAGGACTTCAGTACATTAACATATGGCACTTAGCACATTGGAAGCCCAGGCTCCAGTGAGCTACACAGCAGCTGGGCCTGCTCAGCACTTCTATGAGTCAGTCCTGAGAGCCTCCTGCTAAGCACCCACAAAAAATGAAGAACATAGTTGCAAGGCTCTAGGAAAGTTCAATTTAAGCCATTCGACTTAAATTACATCTGATCTCCATAACAGACTGGGCTTTACTGTTCCCTTTCTGCTATTACTTCTCATTTCTCATGGCCCTCTCAATTTCCACAATAAAGAAGTCATAAACATGCAAGTCCACAGACTATCCTTTGCAAAGATCTATTCTGAGTCAAAAATAAGATCAGAGTCGCAGAAAAGGAACATGCAATGACATAATCAGGATTACATAATAATGTACATGCTGACAGGGAGACATTTTTAAAGATAATCCTCATCATAACATCTTCTAGCTACAACTCTTCAAGTTTACGAATTAGGTAATAATTTTGCAGATAAGCTTTTAAAATGGGAACAAAAGGGAAACTATAGCGACATTTGGGTGAATTACCACAAATTCTGTTCTTCTGTTAGGATCTCTTCCTTGCAGCTAACTATCAGTAATAGAAGGAGTAGATTGACATTCTCCATGTAAACAGTTCTGTGCTTTTCTAGTGGGCTGCAAATATATTTGCTAACAGTAAAGGAACAGTGAGAACTGGGCAGGAAAACAGAACARCGAAGGAACAAGATGACACAAATGTATCCATTTCAAAATATTAAGAGATAAAACATTCATGGGATAATGGCTCGTGAAAACCTCTAGCTTGGGAAGGGGCAGACCACGAGCCTTTGTCATTTATGTCTGCACAGAATGATTTAAATTGAAGTATTTCAGACAGAGACAGAGCAGACATAACTGTCTTGGAGATGAAAAACCTGTCCCAATACAAGATTAATGAAAAGTGGCATGTGATTTTTGATAACCAAGCATTGCCCAGTGTAAAAGTATATTACTGGGAAGATTCCTGATCTGCAACAGCAGAAAACACCCAGCTCATCTAATCTTTTAACTGTCACTGACATTTAAGATATAAGACAAATAATGGAAAAAAAGAAATGAGGACAGTTTGGGTGGCARGAAAAGACTGAATTAGCAAAGCTTAAGTTGCAGGAAAGACATTAGGTAAAGAACAATGCAAAAYACCACCTACAAAGTTAAGATGATACCTACCCACTCTCCTAAAAATACTCTGTATTTCCACAGCAGCAAAGACAAAAAGAAATAAGAAATAAATCTGAAAGAGCAGAGCAGCAGAACTGTGTGAGGACTGAAAAAAAAGGGACAGACATTTCTGTCAGAAAGTCCTTGTGTCATTGAGAACTGACATTCTCATGATGCCTACTGCAAAACTACCACAGTGCAGAGCAGTGGACACACCTGCACTTCTGACTGCAAGCCAAACATTTCTTCTGTTAACTAAAGCACAGCTTTTAATTTTGCTGGGGCAAAATGCTAGAATAGCTAACTGAAGAGGAAATAAAACAAAACAAAATAAAATCTGCACATGAGGAAAAGAGCACCCCCCAGAATACCTGTGAAGGCATTCATTAGCCTTGGGTTGTTCAAGGTCAGGATTCCAATACCATCCTCTTCTTTGGAAAGGTTGATGGATCCCCCAGCAAATTGCTGAAGTTTCTTCTTTATCAGTTCTTCTCGATACCCATGAGCAGAGTCATATAGTGATGCCCTTTGTTGTTGTATTATTCTTTCTTTTGTAGTCTGAAGTAAGTTTTTCCATAGACAAGTTGCCATTTCTGGAAAGAAAAGTGAGAAAAAAAGAAAATCCTCAGAGATTGTCCTTTGAGATCCATTTCAGTCCTCCCACAATGACAGCAACAGGACAGCGGAAAGTAACATCGAGGTGAGGCAACTASAGAAACCTACAGAGGAACCTGATCACCACAGACAGAATTTCCAAAATTCTTAAATTAACTCTCACAAGATTAAAGAGGAGTTTTAAGCAGTGCTTTGGATAGTTAAGCCAAAAATTAATATAGCTTTAAAACTTGTCTTGTAAAAATTATGCAAAAGTATTTGGGGGCAAAACAAGGAGGGTCAAAAATTGTCATAAGACAATGATCTTTTCCACTACACCAGCTCACTCTGCACTATTTTTCCAAAAATTATTAAGTATAGAGAGAGAGAGAAAACCCAAAATTATCAGGGTCTCCTTTTTATTTATTTACTTTAAATATAAGAAACTATCACATAAGACCATTCTGAAGAGAAATCCTTGAGAAGACAGAATCAAAAGTCATTTCTATATAGAGGGCACTTCCTTGTTTCATAATSCCACTAGTACATCTTAAAATTATTTAGATTGTCTCAGAGCTGGTAGATATAAGCCTTTCTCAATCAGGCTAGTAGCTCTTGCTCCACTTCAAATTAATCTTGCTTAAACACAGAACACCAGAACCTCTATAGCTTTCCAAAGGAGGAAATGTGTACAACAGTATTCTATATTGAACGTGGCACTTGCCTTCCATACAGCTACATAATATTGGTATATTGCTATTTACCATGGCATCCAGAGCATCTTAAAACTGCCCTAGTCATTCCCCAACACACATTCATGCAGCAAAATCTTCTGTGCAGCCATTCATTTTTGCTCAGGGAAAAATAATAGCTGCAAACGTGGGCAGTGGAGGCTCTCTCTGCAAAGTACAGCACAGCAGTAGAAGGTAAGATTGCACAGGGCCCTCCTGCACTCGGCTGGATTTGACACAGAGCAATTAGTTGCTAATTTTCAACGAATACAAAACYTCCCCAGGCTTCATAAGACAGACTTGATTTAATTGTCTAGACACCCCAGGATTGGCTCAAAAGCAAAAAATCTGTTCTGTTGACCTAATACCCTGCCAAATTATTCTTGTTCTATCATTTTTATCCTACTTAGGTTTTACATATTAAATAAATTAAAAAAAAAAATCTACAGAGCAAAAGAGACTTAAGATATGAAAATTTTATTCCAAGGAAAAAAAAAAAAAAAAAGAAAGCGTCTGTCATTTTTAACTGTGTGGTTACATGTACTAACCTCTCCAATATTATCACTATGGTAATAAAGAGCATCAGCAAGTGAGGGATTAGAAAACAAATTGGACACCACTGTCTGCTGATCATGAGTCATGATTAATGATTCATGCAAAGTATTATCATTGATTTTTTTTTCTTTTTTTTTTTTCTCTAAAGCCATCTCTTATAGTGCCAGTCAGAGTACCTACCTTTTTTTTTTCTTTTTTTTAATAAATAAATGACTATTTTTAACAGCTAGCCACTCAGAATAAGTTTGATATTTAAGGCTTAGCTCTCATAAACTAAAGGGATTTCTGCTGATCTATGACAAAATTTCAAAATTTTAATCAGTATGGAGCACTTGCAAACCACTGCATGGCAGATTGATTTTTCTGTACCACAAGTGAAAGCAATGCAAGAGAGAGATGCTGCAGTATGAGCTGAATGTCACAGGCCAATTCAAAGGGTATTTAACATACTAAAATGTTGTAATTTTCAGCTTGGGATAAAGTAACTGTGTCTGTTTAGGTACATCTTCAGAAATGAAGTCTTAGTCAAGCTTTAAAAAGACAGACATGATACAGCCAGTAACATCTGTGATGCACATATTTAAGCATGGTTTTTATAGGGACCAAATTTCTGACAGTACAGGAATAATAAACAGCAGGGATGACCAGTATTTCTCAAGTGTTTTAAGAAGTGCCAGATCTTTAGCATATCACTGGTGACAACTAACAGACCAGCTACAATGGCTCTTTCCATAGTCTCTAGTTACATCTGTAACTTGTTATTGAACCTCTAATGTAAGATAATGTTTTAAATTCTTCTGGCATTTGTGTGACTTCACATGACCCTTGCTTGTGGGCTAGCAGATCACTGGCTTATATGATCACATACCCAAAACCTCAGCATCAAAGCAACGATACACTTATGCAAGCACAGTATATATACATATATATATACACACACACATTTACACACCCCTTTATATACAGTATATACAGATAAACGCATATATACATAGATAAACACATTCACAAAACTCAGCAGCAGAGGCCTGGTGACTACACAGCTATAGTTCACTTGTCACACACCATCCCTCTATTGCAACACCAAGTTTTGTCCTCTAACACTCCCTACCAAACCGCAACCTATGGCAATATTGCCAGCAGCCACCAGAACACACAGCATAAAGAGAGGTGGTCAAAGAAACCTCCTGAGGGGGCAGGACTAAGACAAAACATCATACGTTGAGAAGCAAGACGAGCATTTGAGCTGCAGGCCTAACGGGGTAAGCTGCATTAGGGAGCACCTACACAGAAATAACCAGCAAGATCCAACATGCCAGCAGGGAAAATTCCAACTGACAAATGGTGCTGGAGATATGGGCACAAGGCCCGTAGGGAGATGTGGATGTGTTTTTACCACACTGAGCTTTCAGTGAGCATCTATGATCATACTGTCATCTGTGACACCTCAGAGACATCATATATCAACCAGGCCCTTTTGTTTGGGACAGCATGTGTCAGGTGTGAAGGGCAAATACAGATCAGTAAGTCACCTGCAAAGGCACAGCAGATGAAATTCTGGGTTTGGATAATGATATCCTGAGATTAYGTGCAGCAGAGAAAAATAACTAAAAACAAAAGAGGATATTTCAGACAAAACCCATAAACACAGTCTCAAGGAAATGAAAAATTTCAAGGGACCTTGCAAGGGAACTAGAGAGGTGAATGCATGAGAAGGGAAGGCACGTGGCTCCTGTGGCACTGCCACAGCATCAAAGGCAGCCAGTGCATCACGCAGCCAGGGAGAAGGGCCTTGCTGAAGATCTCCAGATGGGCCCCGGCTGGCACGAGGGGGCTCACAGTGCCAGAGCAGGGAGGAGGAGGAAGAGCATGGCCACGGACACTGCCCCTCTRCAGGAGGGAAACAGGGAGGCTGAAAGGGGCCACAGTCACTAACACCAAACCTGGGAGCTGGACAGTGACTGTGGYGGGGGGAAAAATGAGTTCCTGGGCAGCACAGGGAGGGAATTCAACAACAACCACCAAACAGGGAACAGTACCAGCTGAAACTCTAGTGAAGAAGATATCAGCCAGAGGTTCCTCAGCAGCACAAGCTGAAAAGGCCAATGTTACCAGCTGTGTGTCACCACCCCTTCCACAAAGGTTACACAGACACCCACCTACCTCACGTGCAGAGGCATCACTAACCTCTCCTTGAATCAAAAACAGGTTGGATCAACTTGCATGCATCAGGTAACAGCCTCTTCCAACTCTGCCTGCCAGCTAAGGCTTGGCACAATCCCCAGTAAAGACAGCAGAGAGCAAAGGAGCAGCCTGGAGCAGGTCGAGGGCTCCACTCTGCTCTTTCTAATTGTGGGAGCCCCAAACTTGCTCAGCGCTACCCTGGCACAGGCAGTGTGGAAAAGAGATCCATTGGGCAGGATCAGGAACTGCTCTGGTTCAATGCAAAGGTCCTTGAAGAGCTTGGCAGCCCCTCTAGAAAGGGGTTCTAGAAGGAGCTCCTATCAAACGTGACTGTCCTGCAGTCGCAGTGTGGGAGGACAGGCAGCTCTGGATACCAGATCCCTTGTGTCAGRGCTAGGAACAATGTTTGCTTGCTCAGAAGTTACGAAAGCAAAGATCGAAAGGATATCCAAATTAAATAAACTGTTTCAAGCAAGGCATAAGTGAAATTAAAACAAACCAAAGGAAAAAAAAAAAGACCTTTTAACGCTGTAACCTAAATAACCTGTGGGCTGATTTTGTTGTTTTTCTTTTCTTTCTGGCTCACCATTTACACCTCTTCCCTGCTTCCTTTCAGCAGCCACCACTGCTGCTGAMCACCTCGTGTTTTTATATGGCAAACTGAGCCATTCCCTAATCTATTTGTCCTCCGTTTACTTTTGTACTTTCGCAAGCTCCCTGCAGGCTAAGCTCCAGCCCTGTATGGTCGCTCTGATCTTTAGCAATCACAGCCTCTTTCAGCCACGACTGCTTTACTGCTCTCTTCCCTCGGCCCCTAGGCCAGTCCCTGCTCCAGGGCCCCTCGGAGCGCGTTCCCGGCGGCAGCGGCGCCGCTCGCGGTGACCGCAGCCGGGGGCAGCGCAGCCAGCGGCGGCGCCGCCTCCACCTCCCCGCGCCCGCCCGGCCTCCCCGCTCCGCTCCGCTCCTGGGCCGGGCCCCGCACGGCGGCGAGCACCGGG